CAGCCCACTCTCTCTAACAGAGACAGATTCGGAGTTCGTCTACTGACCTCTCTTTGCTGCAACTCCGACCACTGTTGACTGCGACGGTTCCAACGCACACCACACACGTTCGCCCTCTCAACGCAACGTGTGTGGTCCCCCACTTTCACTCTCAAGGTTGATAATGGAGAAGGGAAATTAGTTCTTTCTCAAGAGTTGTCTCCTCAAAATCCATCCCTTGTAAAGCTATGGATGGGTGTTATTTATAAGCACCTCATGATGTAGGATGGAGCCCATGTGCAAGGCATATGGGGAATATTCCCTCTAACTAGCTTATTCGAGGAGGTGATCTCTCTAAGGATGAGAAAAATCCCGAAGAGGAGATCAATCTCTCGGCGAACCCTTCTTGTTAGTCACACTTAACCAATGATCCCTAATCATTCCAAAGGGTTATGAATAGTCCCAGAGGACGCCTTGCCGTAGAAGGGTCAAGGGTAGTTCAAGAGAATGCCCTGCTGCAAATATTGTCGAGTCTCAAGGACCCCCTAGATCGTGCCACCTCGACCCGGGTATAGGCTAGTTTAACCGAAGAGTGAATTTATCTCCACTCACCGTCCTCAGGATCGGGTCCTTTGTTCGGACTCCATTACGCCCATGGTTCTGGTACGTAGATCCCGGAAAGCTCCAAGCCCGCAAGTGTTCTGGGACTCATTAATGGATCGACTTCTAGATTGCATTTGAATCCGTTCGAAGCCAAGTGCTTCGGACCTCTAAGTTCGTGGATCCGAACCCTTTCGAGTCCGAGTCCGAGTGCCTCGGATCTCTATGCTTGCTCAATACCTTTCCGAATCCAGGCTCGAGTAAGTCTCTAAGTTCGTGGATCCGAACCCTTTCGAGTCCGAGTGCCTCGGGTCTCTAGGCTTGCTCAATACCGTTTCAAGTCCGGGCCCGAGTAAGCCCCTAAGTTCGTGGATCTGAACCCTTTCGAGGCTTAGAGCGATTCAGCCCGTTTGATGGCAATAAATCTAGGCCCACCGATTCTTGGACTTGCAATAAATTCGGGCCCACTAATCTTGGGCTATTGGGCCTAAATAATTTAGTGGGCCTAAGTAATTTAGTGCGCTCAAATTAGCCCCTCTTACATTTGCCCCTTGCGTGTATGAGAAATTGTAATTTTCTCGGACATGCATAGTTTCACCTTGTCTGTCATGCTCCGCATGACGTCTTCAGGAATATTTGGTCTTGACAGAGTATATGGATAAAGCTGAGGGCTCACCGTAATTTACAGATAAAATCGACAAGTAATATTAAAAATAAATAAATAACTTTTTTTCTTTTTTTTTTTCACTCCAGGCAAAAATTAAGGCGCAGAATACTTCTCCACTGCAAGGAAATAAAATAAAATAATGCACCCACTAATTTTTATTTTTTTATTCTTAAAAAAAAAATAAGCCCACATTTCTTTCTAGTCAAATTTGACTTTGCTTTCCTTTAACAACTTATAAAATTTCAAATGCGCAGATTCAAAGCGCATTTTCCCTCTCTCCAATGCAAATTCTGGAAGCCCACTTTTCCTTCTCTAAAACCTTGATGGCCCATTATAAATACGTATATCTTTATACCTTTTGTCAAACCCTATTCTTAGCCCCTCTCTCTAACAGAGGCAGATTCATATTCAGAGTTCATCTTCATTAAGAAACTCTGCTTCGCCGTTTGCTCATTGCCGACTGCCTCCTTTTTTTTTTTGGAATGGCAGCAAGCCCATTAGATATATACACATGTATATTCAGATTTTTTTTTTAGAGTATATTCCAAGGATCATACCTCTCCCTTTTTCTATTTAAAGAAAGGGAGGAAACCTTATTCTCAACCTACTGTCTTTCTGGAAATAACACCCCAGAGCTTCGGCTTTCTTGGCTCTTCATTGAAGACCACTACTGCCAGCCCCCTTCTTTCTTTCTTCATCACTTCGGCTGAGCTTTCACACCGCCGCAGCTGTTATTGATCATCACTAACACCAACTCATCTACAACTGTGATCTGGCCAATGCCGACCATGACGCCCTTTCAACGCGGCGTCAGTCTGTCCAACTACTCCGTCGCTTGTTCACGTTGCAATTCGTGGCACTGTAAACAACGAGATTCAAACCACTGCTCACATGCATCATTGCGAGACCGGTTCATTCTTGGCTGACCCACCGTGGCCGATGGTTCTCTCTCTACAAGACAAAACCAGCTTTCAACATTTTCATAGAGGCTCTGCTTCTGCAATAACGGATGACAACACCAGCTGCTTCCATTTACTTTTCTATTCTTTTATATATATATATATATATTTTTTTTTTCTTTTGGGGATAAAGACAAAATTCCTAATCTCTCTCTTTTGTTGCACAGCCATTTCGGGCCTCCTCCTCTCTCTGAAACCAAGACCAACTCAGCACTCTTGTTCTTCAACAAAGCTCCACAGCTGCCGAACAAAAGGCCACACAAGCCATTGTCGTCGGCCTTCGTGAGAGTCACTGTTGACGCCGACCATGCCGCCCTCTCAATGCGTCGTTGGTCGGTCTAGCCAGAAATTTCTCGGACTGATTTGGCTTTCGAAATACCAGTGCTCACGCTACTGCCAACCTATCTTGGCTGTCCACGGCGCCGGCTCTACCGGTCTTGTTCTTTATTTCTTCAGTCCAAGCCATGACTAACCAGCGTCGACCACACCACCGATTCAACGTGGTGTTGGTCTGCCTAGTTGTTCCAGTGCCAACCACACACCTCGCCCTTCTAACGCGTCGTGTGTGGTCACTAACTCCACTGCGACATCACCGCTGGTTCCGGCCTCGCTCGTCCAATGCCAACCACACACGTTTGCCCACTCAACGCCGTGTGTGGTCCTCCCTAGCATCGTTCAGCTTCAGTTTGTATTATCACTCATCCCTTTCTTGATCATTGTTGCCTTAAATCTGGTTCCTCAAATCTGTGGGTGAGTATATATATAAAAATATATTTAAAACTTGGTGCAAGCTTTTTTGTGTAAACCCACTTTAGAACCTCTTGTAAAAACCCATTGATGCTGAATCTGATATGTGTTGTGGGCTTTGCTTAAATATATATGAGTTTTTGGGTTGAAATTTGATCTCCTGATCATGAGATAACCACCACTCTTGCTGGATTTTATTTTATTTGTAAGAAATCTTGGACTGTGAAATTTGTTACTTAACTTACTCTGTTTGTTTAGAGTCAGAGTCTTGTATAAACTAGGTCTTTAATATTGAATACTGTAATTTGAGAGAGAATGACCCACTTGAATCTTGTATGAGTTATTGATGTTGAGGAAGAACATGTAATCCACGTGAGTGTTGTTGCTAGCTTTGCTTGAATGGGACGAATAAAATAAATGTTGTTGTTGAATGATTGATTGTCGTTTTGTTGATCTTGTGGATGCTTGGGAAATACATAGCTGATGCCAAAATTGTGTGTGACGATTGTAGCTTTACATCGACTTGAGAGGAACCGGCCTGGAGAGACAAAACCTTGATTGTTGCATTTTCAAGAACTTGCTCAAAGTAATGAAATTGTTGTAGCTTAAATAGATCATTATTATTTGTTGATGTTGCCCCATTCCGATAATGTCTGAATCAGGATATGAAATTGATATTGCTCATCTCATTTGTTGGCTTTACTATTTCAGGCAAATAAATTTTTGTGCGAAATCCATGGCCCCGAGGCCTTCAGAATCTTCACTAATGAGAGCAAGGGCTATCCTTCGAAAGTCTGAACGAGAGCAAAACTGTCCCTTAGGAGTCTGAAAGTAGCATACACCTTACTTCGGAAAGAAAGATCCCTCTGGATGGGAACCGAGTCTACCAAGCTTGCACCAATAGAAGTAAAGATTGTGTCCCAGAAGTCCGAGCAGAAGCAAGGCTGTCCCTCAGAAGTTCGAACGAAAACAAGGCACTCCCTTAGAAGTCCGAGCAGAAACAAGGCTGTCCCTCGGAAGTCTGAGTGGATGTGCACTTCTACTTCGGCAGCTAATGGAAGCAAAGGCTATCCCTCGGGAGTTCGAGTAAGAGTCCACTCTACTTTGAAAAGAAAGATCCACGTAGCTCGTAATGATGAAATGAGGTTTGTTCCTTAGAGTCCAAATGGAAGCAAGGGCTGTCCCTTGAAAGTCCGGGTGGAAGCACACTCTTTTCTTTGGCAAACAAAATCCCTTCTGGCTGGTAACTACAAGAAAGATCCCTCCTGGCTGGCAACCGAATCTATCAAGCCTGTACTAACGGAAGTAAAGATTGTTCCCTAGAAATTCGAGCGGAGACAAAGTTGTTCCTCGGAAATCCAAGTGGATGTATACTCATTTCTTCGACAATCAATGGAAGCAAATGCTATCACTCGAAGCTTGCACTGACGGAAGCGAGATCTATTCTTCGAAAGTCTGAGTGGGAGCACACACTCTACTTCAGCAAGAAAGATCTTCAAAGCTCGCATTGATAGAAGCAAGGGCTATTCTTCGGAAGTCCGAGTGGGATCACACACTCTGCTTCAACAAGAAAGACCCTCGAAGCTTGCATTTACGGAAGTAAGGGCTGTTCTTCGGAGGTCCGAGTGGGTGCAACACTCTACTTTAGCAAGAAAGACCCTCGAAGCTTGCATTGAAGGAAGCAATGGCTGCTCTTCGGAGGTCCGAGTGGAAGTACACTTCTACTGTGTCAAGAAAACTCCCTTCAGGTTGGTAACTGAGTCTACTATTCCACTTTCTTCTTTGAAGGGCAACAAAAATTAAAAACTATTTCAAGCAACATAACATAATGAAGATATACAATGTAGAGAAAATAACTTCTAATAGAGATACATAATATGGAGGAAATAAATTTCTTCATGACAGAAGAAAGATAGAACTCCTTGGATAATGCAGTAAATATAAATTGTAAATGTCATAGATCGACTTCTTCTACGGAATGTTGAAATTTGCCCCTAGAGTTGCAAGATCATTTGGAAAGCTTTCACCAGCTGCTCGGGTTGTGGCCATCATACACTATCATAGCCATGTCTTTGGATCTTTCTATACAAACTGATATCCCCATCCCCGTAAGACCTTTCATGGATCTGTTGTAGTCGGAAACTTGCTTCTTGTTGGCCAACACACCGGGCTAGGAATCCGGTACCTCCTCGGAAGTAAAGTTCACCTTGAATAATTATGAATTGGGCAAGCTTGGCCATAGTTAATTTTCCAACTTTGCTTATGAGTTGTTCGAGGACTACTCCTCTCCAACCCTCCGGAAGGCTTTTGTCTTCAGGTATTATCGAAGGCTCTGTTCTCTTCTTGATAATAATTGTCGCCTCCTCCTCTGAGATATCAACTCTTGCCCATAATGTAGCGAGGGCATCTGAAAACTTGTTGCCGGAACGAGGCACATGCTCTATTTCGACCTTCTGAAATTTGTCAAGAAGCCTTTGGACTATTGTTCGATATGTGGCCAAGACAGGCTCCTTTAAGACGAACTGTCTTGAAACTTGCTTCGCTATCAACTTTGAGTCCCCCCGAATCTGAATCTTCTTGATACTGTGCTTCTCAGCTGCTATCAGGCCTAACGTAAGAGCCTCATACTCGGCTTCATTATTCGAACAATGGAAATCCAGTTTATAAGACAAATATAACTTTTTCCCACTTTTGCTTGTAAGGACTATCCCGGTTCCTCCTTTACCTCCGGCTGCTGCTGCGTCAAAGCTCAATGTCCAAAAGCTTTCCTCGGAAGCCATAGCTGTATGCACCTCTCCTCTTACTTCTTTATTCACTGGTTCATAGTCACCACTTGGAAATTGAGCAAGGAGGTCAGCTAAGGCTTGGCTTTTGATCGCCTTGGGGGCTAAACATGTGATCTCGAATTCACCCAGTGCTAACAACCATCTTGCCACCTTCCCGGTTAGAGCAGGCTTGCTGAGGAGGTATCGGATTGGATCACTTTTAGTAACAATCCGAATCTGATGTGCTAATAAGTAATGCCTGAGCTTTTGGGGGGTGAATACCAGAGCTAAGCAATGTCTCTCTATCGGAGTATATCGGACTTCTGCTCCTTGAATCTTCCGGCTGATGTAATACACCGGGCATTCTGCTCCATCTACATCTTGGACCAATAATGCCCCTATGGACTTGGGGGTTGAAGTTAAGTACAACATTAGAGGCACCCCGGGCTACGGGGCTATCATGGTCTGAGACAAGGTCAAGGCCACCTTAATTTTCTCGAAGGCCTTTGGGTGCTCCTGGTTCCACTCAAACTTGGCATCTCCTTTTAACAATGAGCTGAAAGGGGCAGAGATCTCTGCAAGTGTTGGGATAAACCTCCGAATATAAGACACCTTCCCGAGGAACTTCTCTAACTCCTTCTGAGAATGCGGGGGAGGCATTGCTCAGATAGACTTGACCTTGTCTTCATCTGCCTCGATACCATGCCTGTGTACAAGAAACCTGAGGAACTTCCCAGCCGTCACCCCGAAAGCACATTTGAGAGGATTCATCCTCATTTTGAATTTTTGGCATCTCTTGAATACTTTCTCAAGGTCTTGGAGATGGTCCTCTTCTTTCTTGGATTTTACCACTAGATCATCAACATAATCTTCCACCTCATGATGGATCATGTCATGAAAAATTGCATTCATAGCCCTTTGGTAAGTTGCTCCGGCATTCTTGAGTCCGAAAGGCACGACTGTATAAAAGAAGTTTCTGAGAGGTGTTCTAAAAGCAGTCTTTTCTGCGTCCTCTTTAGCCATCTTAATTTGATTGTATCCACTGAATCCATCCGTGAAGGAGAACATCTGGTGTCCCGAGGTGGTATCCACGAGGGTGTCGATGTGAGGGAATTCATCATTCGGGCAAGATTTGTTCAAATCTTGAAAGTCTACACATACTCTGATTTGACCATTCTTCTTCTTTACTGGCACTATGTTTGCCAACCACGTGGGGTACTGTATTGGCCGAATGAAACCAGCCTGTTGAAGTTTTTCAATCTCCTCCTTAATCTTCTCATCGAGATCTGGACGATACTTTCGTGCAGCTTACTTAATTGGCTTGGAGTTTGGGAACACATCAAGATAATGAGAGACTAGGTCAGGATCTAGTCCGGGCATTTCCTTATATGACCAAGCAAACACATCTGAATACTGGCTTATCAACTTTAATAACCATTCCCGCTTCTCTGGGTTGAGGCTCGAACTTATGAATATCGGCCTCGGTGTATCTTGTCCATCACTCAGATCTATTTCAATAAGTTGTTCGGGCTGAGGCTTCGGCCCATCTTGCCTGTATTCCGGAGCCACTTCAGCCTTTATCACTATGTCATTGTTAGGAGGCTCTTCTTTTGACTAGGAGTCGGTGACTGAAGAAACCGACTCCCCGCACCTTCATAAATAGTACACCATCTTGCCCCCTTCTCGAACTTTCATCACCTTCCGAGGAATAGGCAGACTTTCTGGTCTAGAGATCGCTCGTTTACTTGATTCTGCCCTTGGCTCCTTGTCATCTTTGATATCCTCCTAACGAGGAATTTTGACCCCCCGAGGCTTAGAGGTGGTGTGAACTTCTTCGACAGCCAGTTCGGTGAAGTAGATGGCATCAGAATAATGAGCTTCATGGACCTCAAAAGGCCTTTTTGTGGCCTGAATTGTCACCGTCTTCTTTCCCCATTTAGCCTTAACACACTGATGATAACTTGATGGTACAACCCTGTGTCTATGCATCCAGTTCCTCCCTACGATGATGTGGTAGTTTGCCTCGGAATCGATAATATGGAACTTGGTGGCCGAGCGAATCTCTCCGACGGCTAAATCAATTGTTACGCATCCGATAGTAACTCTTCTTTCTCCACCGAAGCCAGTGATGACTATCGACTACTTCACAATGCGCTCTTCAGAGATTCCGGCCTTTTCTAGAGTAATGCGAGTCATAATGTTGATAGAGGCTCCACTATCTAGAAAGGCCCTTTTGAACTCAACCCCGTTAATAAAAGCAGTCACATAAAGTGAGCGGTTATGAGAAAAAGGATACTTCCGATCAGCCTCGGAGAAAGTAATGGCACTAGATTTCTCTTTTGCCTTCCTTGGGATAGATCCCTCAGTCGACATGCATTCCTCATGGTGTGCCTCGGCTGTATTAATGATAGACTTGGTGATTTCTGTTCTTGCCTCCCTGGAAAATCCAAGCTGGTCAAAGAACTGCTTGAACTTTACACAGTCTTGCAAGGTTTTGGCATAGTGATCCGGATCTTTTTCCACTCTTGGAGGCTCGTAGTTAACCATCTCCTCGGTCTCTTCAAAATAAGATGCCACATAAACATGGTGTCCTCCTCTTCCGTAGTACTCTTCTCCTCCTTCTGGATCAAAGGGATCGTCGACATGAGTTGTGCAGCTTTTGCCCTCTAGATCGAGAGCACTTCCATAGTAAACTTGCTCACCCTCGGGCTCGAGGATGTCGTCCAGATAATAATCATCGTCATCGCGATTGGTGATAGCCTCGATCATCGGGCCTTCATAAGCTATCATAGCAACATTCTTTCCCTTGTCTCGGTGCTGAGGATATGGTTGTTCTCAGATGTCTTGAGTCCCTTGCTTTTTGAACCTCAATTCGTCTGCCTCGACTTTATCTCTGAAGATTTTCTTGAGAGTCCAACACTTCTCTGTCGGATGTTTCAATGTACGATGGTAGACACAAAATTCAGGGCTCTCGCGGTCCTTTTTTTATAGCATTTCTTCGACATAAGGCAATTTTAGCTCTCTGTCGGCCACCCATTCCTTAACTAGAGCTTTCATTTCCTCGATTCCACATAGATAAGAAACATTCCCCTTTTCACCATTATATTGCTTTCTCTTCTGGCCTCTATGACCTTCTCCTCGTGACTTTCGGGTATCTGGGGCAGAGGCAGCAGCAACAATAGGTCCACGAGACGATTTGAAGCTAGTCTTGTAACTGGCCTTAAATCCGAACTCCTGAGCCTGAGGAATGCTAATGTTCCGAGCTGCTTCTATTAATGCCGAGAAGGTGGGTAGCTTGTGATTAACTAGAAATATTTTGTACCTACTCAACACCCCTTCTAGACAAATTTGAACCAGATAACTCTCCTCCACTACTTCATGGCAATCCACAGCCTTGTCCTGAAACCTTTTGATGTAGTCAAGGATATCTTCACTTTTCTACTGCTTTTCTTTACACAATGTAAGTGTGGTCACCTTCTCCGCCACTTGAAAGAACATAGAGTGGAATTTGTTAACCATTTTCTCCTAACTTCGGACAGAGTTTGGGGCCAAATTAACATACCAACTATATGCTCAGTCGGTGAGGAACTTAGAGAATTCTCTCAGCCGGAGGACGTGGTTTGAACCATGAATACCCAGAGTCTCGATGAATCGCACAACATGTTCTCGAGCATTTCCTTGTTTGCCATTGAACTTGATGAATTTCGGCACTGTGTACCCCTCAGGGTATGGATAGCTCAGCATCTCAATGGGGTAAGGCAGCTTGACATCCGGATCTGGCAAAGAGGGTAAAGTCCTCTTGCCCCGTTCGAGATCGAACATGGCTTGCACATCGGCGAGAGTGAGAAACTGTTAAGGGAGAGAGTTTGATGGTGGCATTCCCGGAACTTGGCTTATGGACCCAAAGACTGAGCTAGGGGCGACTTGGCCATTCTGGTGTTGTGAATTCATCATTGGTGAGGACATTTGATGATACTGGCCATCCGTGCCTATAGACAAGCCAGTTGGTGATGGGACGTTGAATTGAGGCCTGTAAAGTCCACCGCACGGCGCCGCTATACCGAGTTGTGCTTGTAAATTTGTTGTTCGCACCAAAGGAGGCCCGTTTGGTGCTTGGGTAACATTTACTGGTGGCGTAACAAGATTAGGTACGGGCAGAGCTCCCTTTTTGCGCCATCATGCTCCTCACGTTTTCTTGGACACCAACAGTCGCCGGAGCGCCATTCATTGCACCAGAACCTCTCCTAGTCACCATTGGATCTTGGATTGGCACGCCCTGGAGCCCGGGCATGGGCAAACTACTACCGCCTACTGTCGTTTGAGCATGTGTTACTGTGGCCGTGTTGCCATGAGCCATAGGCTGATTGGGGCCTACTTCTCCTTGGATTTGATTTTACGCTCTGGCGGGAATAACTCCACCACCAGTTTGATTTCCATTTGGCGCTGGTGCAAAGTTAGAACTCATCACCAACATGGTGTGAGTGAGATTCTGAAGAGTGGTAAGAATCTTCTCTTGAGTATTTTGAAGTCCTTGAATGGCCTCAAGCAAAAGTGGTTGATCTGGAGCCGTGGTTCTGTCATCACCACCATTAGAGGATCCTTGTTGGTGAACTTCATCTTCTCCCGCCATCCTTGTTGGAGTTGTGTGGATTCCAGATCTCGTTGAGACCATTAACCAATCCACCTTCCCAGTGGAGTCGCCAAAATGTATGAGAGGGTTCAAGAACGTCGTTGGAGAATTCGAAGATCTTCGAAGATCCTTGAAGAACAACTTCGAATTCTCTAGAAGATGATGAGAGGCTTAGATTATTCAATAGTCTCAACTCAAGAACACAAGAGTAAAGGAGATGATGGAGATAAGAGATTGGGTGAAGAAGAAGGCAAAATGGCTAGAGAGAGAATAATGGCAAGGCTCTCCCATGGATCTGCCACTTTCACTCTCAAGGTTGATAATGGAGAAGGGAAATTAGTTCTTTCCCAAGAGTTAATCCTCCAAAATCCATCCATTGTGAAGCTATGGGTGGGTGCTATTTATAGGCACCTCATGATGTAGGATGGAGCCCATGTGCAAGGCACATGGGGAATATTCTCTCTAACCACCCACTTCGAGGAGGTGACCTCTCCGAGGATAAGGAAAACCCCGAAGAGGAGATCAACCTCTCGGCAAACGCTTCTTCTTAGCCACACCTAACCAATGATCCCCAATCATCCCAAAGGGTCAGGGGTAGTGCTAGAGGACGTCCTGCCGCATAAGGGTCAGGGGTAGTTCAAGAGAGCGCCTTGCCGCAAATATTGTCGAGTCTCAAACCCCCTAAATCGTGCCACCTCGACCTAGGTACAGGCTAGTTTAACCGAAGAGTGAATTTATCTCCACTCACCGTCCTCAGGATCGGGTCCTTTGTTCGGACTCCATTACGCCCATGGTTCTGGTACGTAGACCCCGGAAAGCTCCGAGCCCGCAAGTGTTCTGGGACTCATTAACGGAGCGACTTCTAGATTGCGTTTGAATCCGTTTGAAGCCAAGTACTTTAGACCTCTAAGTTCGTGGATCCGAACCCTTTCGAGTCCGAGTGCCTCGGATCTCCAGGCTTGCTCAATACATTTTCGAATCCGGGTTTGAGTAAGTCTCTAAGTTTGTGGATCCGAACCCTTTCAAGTCCGAGTGCCTCAGATCTCTAGGCTTAATCAATACCCTTTCAAGTCCGAGCCTGAGTAAGTCTCTAAGTTCGTGGATCCGAACCCTTTCGAGGCTTAGAGCGATTCAGCCTGTTTGATGGCAATAAATCTGGGCCCACCGATTCTTGGACTTCCAATAAATTCGGGCCGACTAATCTTGGGCTATTGGGCCTAAATAATTTAGTGGGCTCAAATTAGCCCCTCTTACACATAGTAATGAAGTTTTTAAAATGGTTGAGGTACTGATTTTTCCTACACTTCTTTATGCACTTTTATTTGATTATATGGAGTTTAGAGTTGCATATAAATTAATTAGAATTTTTGAAAAATTTGTGATTTATTTGCTTAAAAGGGTAATTTTTGAGAAAAATAAAGAGTTGATGCCTAAATTGCGAAAGTGTAAACTTGGAATATGTTTATAAGGTTATGAAAGAACTATGTTTTAAATTTGAACAAAAACGGACTTCGATTCGATTGGTTCTGAAATTTTTACCGTTTTGCGACCAAAAGAGCATTTTTTAAAAAAAATAAAGGAATTACGTTTAACTTTTGGGGCTTTTGAACAAAATAGGATGTCATAGTTGAATATTGTTTGGAGAATGAGTTTGGGAAGAAAATGATGTTTTCTTGGGCATTAACGGTATTATTTTGCTTAATGTATCTGTTGGAATAAAACCCACACAGTTAGAAATGGACCTTAAGAGGTTATCAGCCGTGATTTTGATATGAAAACTAGTGTAGTTGTTCATATTTGATGAGATATGGAATAGATTGTATTTATCGGAAGTTTTGGAATTTAATTGTTTAAATATTTGTTTAGAAATATCTGTTTTGGGCTATCGGTAGAGGATAGCCATGATTATTGTAGAAATACATGAGACTTAGGTAAATTGAACCACATTCCTCATTTGTTGCATTGGACATTGCATTACATTCATTTCATTGGAAATGTATCTATTTTTTAGAAATGTTTGAAAATGTATCTATTTGCGAAAAGATGAATACTTGGTGAATCTGGGTAAGGGGTGTGGAACCGCACGGTTAGGTATCGAGCCTTCCAGTTTACTGGTAAAAATGACAGTGGTAGTGTATTAGGGCCTACTTGCAGAAACTCGCCTAGAGATTCATAGGGCCTGTATTCATGTAACAGATATGGTTTAAAATGGAAATGGTTTTATATTTTTTGTTGCATCTCAGCATTGCATGCTTTACAAAAAGAGAGATAAATTGTTTTATCATGAGCATGGCATGAGCATACTCCTCTTTTGTCTTGTCATTGTTCATATGTTGTGCAGTATATCTCTACTGGGCTATGGGTCACCCTATAAGGGAAATCATTTCAGGTACAGGTGCTTTGCCTCCGCCAAGGCATTGACTTGAGAGGACTCGGAGCTGAGACTTTATTTTGTTTTATTGTTATTTGTTGAATATAAGCCCAGGGTTGTATTTGTGTTGAATTGAAACTCCATTTTGTGTAACCAAGAATGTTCTTGGATAAATTTGTAAGCCTGTAGGACACTTATTATCTCTTTGGCTTCCATTTCATACTTGTTATAAAATGCATGTTTGGGATTAGAACTGGGGCATTGAGATGTGAACAATATGTATTTAGCATTTGGGATTTAATGAAAATGGGTGTATGGATTAGTTAGCTATATATATGTGTTTGTCTATCAGATGGGTTTTGTTGCATAAATAGATATATCACGCCCAATTTTTGGGGTGTAACAACTTGGTATTAGAGCGTACCGGGTTTGAATACTTTGGGTTCATGGGGAGTGGTTAGTACCACAGTGGGTTTATCTCGCTTGATAGAGATATCTGTATGATGAGGTGCTATGTGATAACATGCTTATGTGATTATATGGGTATGGGGTTTGATTTCTGAGATGTTGATTGGGTCTGTGAGTTCCTAGAAGTCCAAGCAGAAGAGCACTTGATCACTGCTATTTCTGATTGGAACTCTAGCAATGTCATGGGACAATCATTATCTAGAAAGAAAATCTATATGTGCTTGTGTGGAATGAATTAGCTGTTGTCCATTGCCTTAAGACGTGTGTGAGTTAGCTTCGGCACAATTGTGACAGTGCCAATCTCAAGTGTTACCTTTATTAGGATGTCAGGACGTGGAAGGGGAAGTGGTAGGCATGGTAGGCCTAGGAGGCACGAGATGCCAATACCGGATGAGATTCTGGCGCAGGAGGAGGGGACAGAATCGGCAAATATGGCTGAGCCAGGTGGGCAACAGGCCATGGGTGCTGGGGCACGAGAGATAGCAGGGGTATTGAACATACTGAGGACTAAGAACCTAGCATAGGCCCCAACTGCCCCAGTTGCAGAGACAAGACCACTCCTGCTAAAAAGAGAGTTCTTCCGGACCAATCCGGATATTTTTGTAGGAGATCCTAAGGAGCCGTTGAAGGCTGGGCTGAATGAGTGGCATCATAGCTTGTGGTTATATCTTTTAGAATTTGGGTAGAAGCGAGCTGACTAGAGACTTCAAAGGAGATTTCAAAATCACTACAACTATGAGTATTTGTTGGGAGTACCTTAGTGTTGTTAGAATGTATATCTAGTCTTGATAAATTCTATGTGGACTCGAAGTGCATTGTGTGAGCGTTTGGGTAAATTCTATGTTGGAGTGAAATTGTGTGGGTGGATGTAGACAAGTTTGCGTAAACTGTTAGTTGGTTCGTCGAGTGAAAGAAATAGAGTGGATAGGTAAAAATAATACAGAAATTGTTTGGTTAGGCAACTAAAGTTGTGGCTGAGAATTTTTGAGTAGTGTGTTTGGCATGATTGCATTATGTTTCGTAAGGGTTGGTGTCTCTTCTTGTTCAAGTGAAGTAGTTGAGGCTAAGGTGATCTGTGAAATTTTTTTTTTGGAATAATTCAGGGAAGAATATGATTGTACTAGGGGACGAATGGAGGTTCTCATGGGATGAAATATTTGGAGTCATTGTTTGTGTTAGTTTTATTCAATTGCGTAACTGAGTATGAATTCATTTTAATATTGAGATGAGTTAGTTGTCGTGTGACGGTTGCAATTACAAAATATATCATTGAATTGTGTCTTTAAAGGGAGGGTGTTCTTATTGGTTAAGAGTCTTGAGATAATCACTTTGGACGGATATTAAGTAAATTATTGCACTAGATTATAAAAAAAAGAAAACTGATTTTATTGAAGTCAAGGGATGACATCCCCGATTATAGAGGCGACAAAAAAAAAAAGTGGGATCTCGTTTTTTATATCAGCCACATGTCGACTTCACTTACTCGACTTTCCAGCCGAGCTCTTCCTTTTTTTGTCGTCTTGGGTGACCCTTGAAGGCCCTGCCTCAATGCATATAGGACCGCCGAGGGAGTTGACTCCCTGCTAGCTGTCAAAGGCGAAGTACGAAGGTGCTTCGAATCGGGTCATGATGGTGGTCTTCTGTTTCAACTCTTTATTCTTCGCCTTCAGTGCACAAATCTCTGCCTGTGCATCTTTGTACATGTGCTGGAGGAGAGAAAGCCGGTGAGATAATTTGGTAACCGCAGTCACTGTCTCCATGCAAGATCTCAGTGTGAAGTGGTTGGCCTTAATGTCTGATTAAGCAGCCATGATTTGCTCAACTGACATCATGGGAAAGTTAAGAAGGATAGGAGCAGAGGCACTCGCCCAGGAAGGTTAGGAAGGGTAGGAGCAGAGGCACTCGGTCCAGGAAGGTTAGGAAGAGTAGGAGCAGGGACACTCAGTCTAGGAGAGCTTGGATCATTGAGGTCTGGAAAGAGAGTAAGGGGACGATATGAGGCCATGTGTGGTGAGGGATGTAAAGAGAAAGAAAGGAGAGTTAGAGAAATAGCAGAGAATAGATTGAGTTTTGGGACAACTTTTCTCCTCCGTTCAGTCTCTCTTTTTCTCTCGATGAAGAAGAAGAAACAGAAGAGAGTGATGAAGAAGAAGGAGATGGAAGAGAATGATGAAGAAGAAGGAGATGGAAGAGAATGATGAAGAAGAAAGAGATGGAAGAGAATGATGAAGAAGAAGGAGAAATGAGTGAATAAGTAGAAGAGGGAAGATACTGATTCAGAAGAATGTAGAAGAGAAGAAGACAATGAGGGAGAGATAGCCGAGGCGAGCGACAATCGAGGAGAGCTGCTTTTGTTGGCCAATGAAGCAAAAGCAAGGTCGCGTGTCAGACGCAGTTTTCGAAGGAAGAGAGAGAAGTGGGAAAGTTGCATATATATGTGTATATATATTGTATATTTATGTATTATATACATTTATTCGACTATTTTGTCACAAGAGTGACTTGGTTAAGCGGTTTGGTTTGGCGTCTAAGGATGGAGAGGTTGAGCCCGAGGTTAGGGGTTCGAACCCTGCAACGAGTAATTCTTCTGTTTTGTTTTGATTTTATGTATATATGTCTCATACCTATGCTATATATATATATATATATATATATATTTGTTTGTATATCTGGTCACAAGAGTAGCTTGGCTCAGTGGTTTGGGCTGTGGCCTAAGCTTGAGATCGGGGGTTCGAAACCCCGTATCCCTACATTCGTGTTTTCTTTCCTTTTTGCGTGTTTTGCTTATGCACGATGACGTCAGCTAACGGAATATTCCGTCGCAGTAATGGCATATGCTCGCTGACGTACATAGACAGAATATTCCTTGTCAATAACGGCATATTCCCCAAATGTATCTGTGTATATGTACGTATCTATGAATCTTCTCCGTATTTGTCCGTTTGTGTCTGTGTATCTTTCGTTCATATTAGTCCTTTGGTGAAAATGTTGTGGAGACACCACGGGTTGAGGTGGCGACTTGGGAACATGAGGTTGAAGTCCGTGAGAAGTATTTGAACCTTTTTATCGATGTTTGATAGTTGCGATAGAAATATTATTTTGATATTAGGATGTAAATTGAATTTTCTTTGGGGAGATTTTATTATAATTTGAGGTTAATCTATTTATTAACTATTCGGAATTTTAGAACTGTTTCAGTATTAATCTTTATATGTGTCTTATTATGATTGGTTTTGTATACTTCTAGAGTGAGATGTAGACTATTATGTTAACTGGCCTAGATAGAAGTATTAATACTTGTCAATAAGTGAGTTAGCATAGTAAGAGTTGTTTAATTTGGGTTTGATCTCGTGGGTTATCATAAGGTTAGTGTGATGCAGAATAGTGTTGGTAAGGTATTGTCTGTTTTGTGACGGTTGACGGTTACTATTTGAGTTGGTGGTTAGTGCTTTTGAAGAGTTATTATTTCCTTTTGTCAAGGTCTCGGAGCAGTGATAGTTATTTTGGCCTTGGGATGCATCGTGCATTAGGCGATGGAGATAGTTCGTTGAAGTTGGGTTATCAACAATAAGGCATGGTGTCTTAGTATTCTGTGGAGTCGTTTTGCCAAAATTTTTGTTATGTTTGAGGAATTAGATCCTATTTTGTTGCTTTGGGTTGTCAATGTGGATAGAAGAGTCACTTAATGGTTTATACTAGTGGGGGTGGTTATAATCAATTGTTGTGCAAAGGTAATGGTTTAGTTCATTACCGGTGTGACTCGTTGAGACTCATGTAGTAGTCAAAGAATTTTTGTTGATACATTGGTAAGTACCTAAGTGAGTTTGTGGGTGACTGTAGAATGTATTACATTACTTGAGTTAATTTCGAGGACGAAATTTCTTTAAGGAGGGAAGGTTGTAATGACTCAAAAAAAATATAAATATAAAGGTAGGGAATATATTCTGATGATGGTTTTTGTGGTGGAGGATTTGATTTTTTTTTAAAAGGGAAGTGAGTGCTGGAGTGGGGTTCAAGCATGGGAAGAAAAAAAAAATATTTTTTTGTGTGTAAAGAGAGGCAACCATGTGGGGGGGGGGGTGCCCCTTCACTCCTTTCCCTCATTCCTTTTTCTTTTTTTTATTCTTCTTGTTTGAAGCATCCACAATAGTCTTATCTCTCTCTCTCTCTCTCTCATCTCCTCTCAGAGACAATTTCTATATATCTGATATATGGGATATGGGTGATTAAGTGGAAAAACAACGTATGTTTGTTTTTTTTAAGATACTGACTCTCTCCCAAAATAATGATAAAAGCCACTTGCACTGTGGTTTGTGCGGGTGATATTCAATATTGTAATATCACTTCACTGCTGGGTTGATTGACTAGATTCAGGAAGCACGTGATTTATCCACAAGGTTTTAGATAAAAAAAAAAAAAGGTATGATCTAAACATTTTATTCCGCTGCATGTTTTGGGTTTTGATTTACATATTGCAATCTTGGGAAAGCGAGGAACAACCAAAACAGTGATGGCACCTAGGTTGCATGCTGTTCTGCCACCTATTGAAGTAGTTGTTGGTTCAATTGCTAATGTTGAACCAGCCTACCCGGAAGAGTAAGGTGGGAAGATGGATTGGCTAATAAAGTGGAATATGACCCTGCCGGTAATATCAAGACTATAATAGTCAGATCTCCTTTTATCCAGATTCCACTCGGTGTCACTGGCGATAGACTTATTGGTTCTGTTGATGTTGAGGAGTCTGTGAAATCTGGAACAATTGTTTTCTAGCCTGGCCTTCTTGCTGAAGCTCATGGAGGAGTTCTATACGTTAATGGGATTAATCTGTTAGATGAGGGCATTAGTAATTTGCTTCTTAATGTGTTGACTGAGGGAGTTAATATTGCGGAAAGAGAAGGGATCAGCTTTCGACATCCATGCAAGCCACTTTTGATTGCTACTTATAACCCAGAAGAGGGTGCTGTACGGGAACATTTGCTGGACCGGATTGCAATCAATTTGAGTGTAGATCTTCCAATGAGTTTTGAAGATCGTGTTGCAGCTGTTAAAATTGCAACACAGTTTCAGGAACATAGTAATTAAGTTTTTAAAATGTTTGAGGTAGAGATTTTTCCTACACTTCTTTATGTACTTTTGCTTGATTATATGGAGTTTAGAGTTGCATATAAATTAATTAGAATTTTTGGAAATTTTGTGATTTATTTGCTTAAAAGGGTAATTTTGAGAAAAATAAAGAGTTGATGCCCAAATTGTGAAAGTGTAAACTTGGAATATGTTTGTAAGGTTATGAAAGAGCTATGTTTTAAATTTGAACAAAAACGAACTTCGAATCGAATGGTTTTGAAATTTTTACCGTTTTGCGACCAAAAGAGCATTTTTAAAGAAAACAAAGGAATTACGTTTAAATTTTGGGGCTTTTGATCAAAATAGGATGTCATAGTTGAATAATGCTTGGAGAATGAGTTTGGGAAGAAAATGATGTTTTCTTGGGCATTAACGGTATTATTTTGCTTAATGTATCTGTTGGAATAAAACCGACACGGTTAGAAATGGACCTTGAGAGGTTACCAGACGTGATTGTGATATGAAAACTAGTGTAGTTGTTCATATTTGATGAGATGTGAAATAGATTGTATTTATCGGAATTTTTGGAATTTAATTGTTTAAATATTTGTTTAGAAATATCTGTTTTGGGTTATCGGTAGAGGATAGCCATAATTGTTGTAGAAATGCATGAGACTTAGGTAAATTGAACCACATTCCTCATTTGTTGCATTGGACATTGCATTACCTTCATTTCATTGGAAATGTATCTGTTTTTGAGAAATGTTTCGAAATGTATCTATTTGCGAAAAGATGAATACTTAGTGAATCTGGGTAGGGGGTGTGGAACCACGCGGTTAGGTATCGAGCCTTCTAGTTTACTGGTAAAAATGACAGTGGTAGTGCATTAGGGCCTACTTTCAGAAACTCGCCTAGAGATTCACAGGGCTCGTATTCATGTAACAGATATGGTTTAAAATGGAAATGGTTTTATATTTGTTGTTGCATCTCAGCATTGCATGCTTTATAAAAAGAGAGATAAACTGTTTTATCATGAGCATGGCATGAGCATATTCCTCTTTAGTCTTGTCATTGTTCATATGTTGTGTAGTATATCTCTACTGGGCTATGGCCCACCCTATAAGGGAAATCATTTCAAGTACATGTGCTATGCCTCCACCAAGGCATTGACTTGGGAGGACTTGGAGCTAAGGTTTCATTTTTGTTTTATTGTTATTTGTTCAATGTTAGCCCAGGGCTGTATTTGTGTTGAGTTGAAACTCCATTTTGTTTAACCAAGAATGTTCATGGATAAATTTGTAAGCATGTAGGGTACTTATTATATGTTTGGCTTCTATTTCAAACTTGTTGTAAAATGCATGTTTGGGATTAGAACTGGGGCATTGAGATGTGAACAATATGTATTTGGCATTTGGGATTTAATGGAAATGGGTGTATGGATTAGTTAGCTATATATATGTGTTTGCCTATTAGGTGGGTTTTGTTGCATAAATAGATATATCATGCCCAATTTTTGGGGCGTTACAATGAGAACATGCACAGAAAAATGTAATCAAAAGCTAAATGGCATACTTAATATGATGTGAAGATCAACAATTAAAATATTTTGCAAAGACACACGTGTTATGTGCTTTACATCTCTACACATTCACACTCTACTAATATTTCATCAATGTTGTTTTACGTTTTCACAACCAAAATTGGTGATTTCGAAATAAAAATCATACAACCATTCACAATGTGATATTTTACATTTCGTATTTGTATGTTATTGTAGATTTGACAACTACGGTTTCAATAGAGCACACAGAATGAATTTGAATTAACTTACATTTGGTACACATTTCCAACTATGTGGAATAATCGGTGAGATCAATGTGAATCTTTGAAGTGAGAAAGTATTTTGGTCACCAGCCACGAAATGTTGGAAACAAAACGATACGAAGATGGGTTTAAAGGATAGATGACTATTTTCAATGATTTTAGCATATGAACAAAGTCAAATTCAAATATCAGTAAAGATTTAAGAATTCGGGAGGTAATTTTTTGATTGTGAATAGTTTTTGAATTGATCAAGGCGCCCCACACTCCAATTCAATCAAGGTGTTTTGGTAACTATGTCATCTATTATAGGAATATAACAAAATAATTCTGAAGGATTGGAACACAAGTAATAGAAAAAGGATTTATGAAAAAATATCACAACAATATATATATATATACGTGTGTGTGTGTGTGTGTGTGTGTGTGTGTGTGTGTGTTAACTTATATGACATTTTTAAACTTTTAGTGGTGATCTTAGATAATTTGATCTATTCGGTTTTTGAATTTTCTGTATAGATCATTTATATATATAATTCAAAGTTATCTAATAATCGTAATTATATGATTTTATCATATTTATTTTCAAAAAAATAAATGGCAAGTATGATTTAAAAGCTAGATGATTTATTCTTAGGAGTAGATGACTGTATTTGAGGTGAACTAAATGTAGGTGAGCTGATTATAGGTGAGATGATTTATTCTTGGAAGTAGATGACTATATTTGAGGTGAACTAAATGTGTGTTAACTGAACTGGTGAATTGTCTGATCCTTCTTAGCCTTGTAACTGGTTACAGTGAGGCAAACACTAGCTGTCCCTGAACAAGATCTCTGACCTTACAAAGTCTTCTGACACGGGTCCAAAGTACTTGGGGGATATCAGAACTTTCTGAAGCTATGGTTTTAGACTACCTAGCAAAAGAAATAAAGAAAAAGCAAACAAAATCAGAAATCGGCAAAACCTTCTTATGTGCCTCAACTACCCACACTGATAACTTGCAGGCGACTGTCTCCTCCCTTAGCCCAGTCCTTGAGAATGAGTTAAGGATGGCATAGACTGTTGCCCTCCTCCTCTTTGTGGGCAAACTGAAAACTTATAGCCAACTGACCACACTTGAAGCAAGTGAAACCACCCTTGTTACCTCTCCTTGACCGAGAACTTGGCACATGAAAGGTGGATCTAAATTGCACTGCTTGGGACTGTTGTGGGGTGGAACCCCTTTGTTGTTTGTTGTTCCTAACATCTCCCTGAACATCCTGGCTCCTTTTCTTAGAGCCTCTCATCGGCTCCTCCTCTGTTTGAATCATGGCCTCTAAATGAGCTATCGCCTCCACAAGGTGATCGTAATCCCTAATCATGGACGCGACAACCTTGAAAAGTCGTATGGTCCTCAATCTCTTCTCAAACTCCAAACAACAACGTTCCTTCATCGCCACAAGCTCAGGTGCAAACCTTGATAAACTGGTAAAGGTAGCCTGAAACTCGGTGTTAAGCTGCTTGAGCTTCAAGAAATGCTCTCTCAACTTCTCCCTAATAGTGGAAGGCAAGAACTTGTCTTGGAAGACGTTGACAAAAGTCTCTCAAGTTACCCTGATGAGCCGTCGCACAACATCCACCATTGACCCGCATCACTCTTCAATTGGAAGGATGTCGAGGTCACTTTCAACCGATCGTCCTCAATGCCAAGCATCTCAAACGCCTTTACCATCTGCTCCAACCACTCATCCACCTTCAGTGGCTCCTTCGGATCTCCCAAAAACTCATCTGGATTCGACCGAAAGAAATCACTCTTTAGAAAAGATGGCCCCCTCTTCGCTACTTGGGCCTGGACTTGATTCTTAGCCCTGAGAATGTCCATGGATTGCCGCAAGGCGTTGAACATTTTTCGAGCCAAAGCGCCCATGTCATGTTGACCCACTGGTTCTACCACATTGGCCTGACCAACTCCTTCTTCCTTTATCGGAATTTCACCTGGTAACGGCCCCTCCTGCCATCTAGGCCTACCATGTCTACCACCACCACGTCCTGACATCCTAATGAAGGTAACACAAGGGATTAGCTTATTTACAAATGTGCCGAAGCTAACTCACCCACGCCCTAATGCGGTGGACAAGAATTAATTCACTCCACATAAGCACATAGTCATGTAAATACATACGAATTTCCTTTCTAGGTAATGATCATCCCACGACATTGCCAGGGTTGTAATTAGAAATAATAGTGATTAAGTACTCTTCTAACAAGATTTCTAGAAACTCGTAGACCTAATCAATATCTTAGAAACTAAATTCTATACCCATCTAGTCATATAAGCATGTTATCACATAGCATACCAGGTTTATTCCTAATATCATCTAGTGAGGGAACCCATTGTGGTAATAACCACATTTTATAATCCCAAAGTATTTAAACTCGGTAGCTCTGATACCAAGTTATAACGCCCCGAAATAATAACCATGATTTAACCCATGATAATTATTAAATAACAATACATTCTCAAGCATAATATCCTTCCATTCATATACTTCAAGTGTACAAAAGAGTAACACATGCATCAAGACATTCATAAGCCCTATCCCTGAATCTATAGCATGCGCCACAAGTTAATGATAAGAACCAAACAAAATTTTGAGATTTTTTTTGGAAAAATTTGTTTGGTTTGATTACTCTTAAAAATTTATTTGTAGAGAATTTTTTTCAAAATTTTTTCCGAAAAACAAACCAAACAAGACCTAAGTGTCTAAATTGGGTACGGGTGTCAGGACATATATCCCACACCTTTACCCTTGTCATATTCAGTGGATATGGGTACTTTGAGAAATAAAAGAGTCCATATAACACAAATATACATAGACGCTCCCAACCTTATAAACTTGTATATGCCCTCGTTCCCATCCGAACTTCATGCAACTAAGGTGTAAAGTATGTCAAAGCTCTACTAGAGTTACTGGTTAGTCAAGGGATGATAATTGAGCATGTTTCTTGTTGTTGTAAAGTAGATGTACAAGTTAGATCTTCTTTAGGCTTCTTTTTTTCCCATTATTTTGATTTGTGATTATTAACTTAAACCTTGTCTGCTTTAGGTTAAATTTGTTGAACAAAAGCTAGAATTATGAATGGCCTAGAAGGCGAGCAAATAGAGAATTCGGGTTAGGCGCTAGAAAGCGACTAGACTAATATCTGTACGGTGTATCG